GTGTATATCACATACACACACACAAATATTATATTATAAATGTACATACACGTTGGGTACAGATATACATACGTTTAATGGGCAGCATCCTGCTCAAATGGGTGAAAATTAGGTGCAAACTCAATTGCGACCTGTTAAAAAGATTTGGGGTGGCCTAAACAATTTAAATCAATTTTGCGAATATAAATTAATGCCTACGTAATAAAACGAGATATACATACTACAATACATCGCCGAAACTTAATTTGTCTTTGGGATGTTTATAAAAATGTTTGTTTTTTTTAAAAATTATATTATAGTCTTCTTGAACCTCTTTGTTCCAACAAGCATAATTATTACCCGTAGTAAGGGATACCAACTTTAATACAATTAACCACTAGACACCCCTATGATCGGTTTACCTTACGCAAAATACAGGATGTTACTAAAAAATCTACTAAATTTATCTTTATTTATTGTGCGATTTTAACCGAATTTGTTTTAAAATGTAGATCTTATGCTTAGTTTTGACAAATAAAAAACGCAATGAAAACTTAAAACAACCATGAAACAAAAAATAGAGAATTCAAAAAATACAGTTGTCGCAAATACGAGGTGTGTTCAGAAAATATCGGGAATTTTCGTTTTTTAAAACAAATATTTATTTATTCGTCTACATTAATATTGTCGCCTTCAAAATAGTCCCCATAGGATATTATGCACATGTGCCAGCTCTTCTTCCAATACTCGAAACACTTCTAAAACTCGATCTTTGGGATAGCCTTTAGTTCTTTCAGCGATGCGCTTTTAATGTCAACTATACTTGCAAAACGACGGCCCTTTAAGGTTCTCTTTATTTTTGGGAATAGCAAAAAGTCAGACAGAGGCATGTCTGGCGAATATGGAGGCTGGGGCATCATTACAGTATTGTTTTTGGCCAAAAATTTTGTTCAAAATTTAACAATTTTAGAACAAATTTTGCTCCCACGCGTTTCATACCCAAAAAATTTCATGGGATGGGCCAATCGATATACCAACATCATCAGCGACTTCTCTGATGGTTTATAACCATTTCTTTTAAGGAACGAAAATCTCCGAACTAATAAAATACGTCTAACCTTAGCGGCTGCCACAAATGACCTATATATTTTGTTAGCAAACTACTTTACTAATTAAACAAAAAAAAATTATAAACATTCATAAAGTTTTTCTCCTTAAAAATTATTTTTTTAATTAAATAATTTTTTTTAGTTAAAATTGGCTGTAATAATAATAATAAAATTTTAATAATAATAATAAAATTTTAACAGAAAAATTAAGACACAAAATTTTGTAAATTATTATTATATTAGGTATATAATATAATAATAATTTACAAAATTTTGTGTCTTCATTTTTCTGTTAAAATTTCAGTCAATTTGACATTTGACAGATGTCAGATTTTATTTTTTTTAATTTTGAAAGTTATTTAATTATCTACTTATTGTTTTAACTACTCCATGGAGTAGTTAAAACAACATTAATAATAGCCTGCATTATCTCTCGTATATTAATATACTATTTAAACATTAAAACAGTGTATTTGTTTTTTACTTAAAATTTATATTAAAATATATATATCATTTCATTACTCGGCCATTCCAAGCCCATGGACAGGACACATCAAAACATGTCTAAATTATATTCTTGTTACTTCCTTAAGTTTACTTATTTTTTCTACGAGTATTTATGAGAAGTATTAGCCAAAGTTGGCTAATACTTCTCATAAATACTCGTAGAAAAAATAAGTAAACTTAAGGAAGTAACAAGAATATAATTTAGACATGTTTTGATGTGTCATGTCCATGGGCTTGGAATGGCCGTACTGCAAAAATATCATTAAAATTGTAAAATTTTGGGTAAAAACAATTCTATTTCGTTGAAAACATGATTTTTGAAGAGAAAACTTTATTAATGTGTATATATCATATATAATATATGTAATTTTTTTACACAACTTTTTAAGATTTTAAAATTAATATTGTCGATTTGATAAATCAAACAGCATATTAAGAATATTTAAACAAAATTAAACACTATTTTTTAAAATTAGATTTCACTGTTACTAGTAACTTCATTTAAATATGTAAAAATAATAGATGCGTTCTTGCCTATTATAATATTACTTGTGTGTGTGTGTGTGTATGGGGGACCTAATTCATCTCGATCTCTCTATTAGCGTGCCCTGTACCTCGCTACTGATGCCTAATTCAATTAGTTCCTCAACCCCTATCTTTTTCATTTCGGTAATTGACGCCGAGCTCGAGCTGTCCAAGTGTCAAATTTACATAACATCGTTCTATTGTTTTTTTATTCCTTTTTTTTCTTTATCTGTTTATCCATCTAGTGGGCCTGTATAGAAGCAGATGTTTTTTAGATATCTATGATTGACTTTCTAATCAGAAACTTGTATGAAAATTTAAACATTATTCTAGCTGGGCTGTCATCGAACTGTCAAATGTCAATTTTAACCTTAAATTTATCATAACCTACAAATTTATCATACCCACAAATTAACCTTAAAATTGACATTGACAGTTTGATGACAGCCCTGATAAAATAAGTTTTTTTTACAAAATAGTAGTAATTTTGGTTGCCCTTAGCACTTTAAGGCCGTTTTTAAGATAAGGGCCACCCTAATATACAGTATGTCCCGGAAATGAGTGTACAAGACGATTTTTTTTATTTATTTTTGTTTTTTTGAAGAAAAGTCATCTTTGAAAAAAAGTTTTAACCGTCGACAAAATATCAAAGAAAAAAATTAAGATTTTGTCTACAGGGTGTTTAAAAAAACAGGAAAACAAAATCTATTTATTTTAAACTTTGTGAAAATTTTTTTAAGCAAAATTTGTTATTAAAAACGTTTCAATACAAAATTACGACGGAAATTATTATAAAGTTGATTTTTCTTTATTTTTTCCAGTATACAAAAATTACGACGAAAATTATAAAGGTAATTTTTTGTTTTTTTCGAGGATCAACTTTATAATTTCGTTTTATATTTTTTGAAGAAAATTTATTTTTGATAAAATGTTTTAATTGTCGAAAAAACATTGACCAAGTAAAATTTGCAATATTTAAGTACAGGGTGTTTAAAAGGTCTTGAATAGATTTTATGTAGTAAAATACCAAATTTTACTACCAGAATTTTAGTTTTTTGATAATAACTACTTTTTATTAAGAATAACTTTTCGTCGTAGAACCAAAAATCTATTTTTGCTAGTAAAGTAACAAATTTAAAAAAAATAACAGTTGTAACCTAAAAATAGGTACTTTACATTTAACAGACCTTAAGAAATTATTACCAATAAAATTTTTGGGACTCTAATTGGTTCAAATAGTAAACCAAAAACAAACTTAAATTTTTAATAAATATACTCTCTAAAAATGAATTAGTCAAAAAGGACTAATTTAAATGGTTATTAGTGGTTGCTTTTTCACTTATACCATAATTAACCATGGAATACCATGGTATCCCAAAATTTAACAACCAATTCTTATGAAAAATTGTCTCCTGAACCCGAAAATACCGTCAAAAATTATGAAAGTGGAGCAGTTTTTGAAATATAGTCAATTCCATATTAAATGGAAAATTGACTTTATCTCAAAAACTGTTTTACTTTTTAACTTTTGACGAAATTTTTGGATTCAGGGGACAATTTTACATAAGAATTGGTTGTTAAATTTTGGGATACCATGGTATTCCATGGTTAACCACGCTACAAGTGAAAAACAGCCACTAATAACTATTAAATTAGTCATTTTTGACTAATTCATTTTTAGAGAGTATTAACAGCAAAAACCCAAAGCACAAGAATTGTAAACAACTTCGTGATTTTTGAGAAACTTCTAGTCGGTGACCCAACATCAATCCCGACTTCTACCGTGCTGGCACGAACCGCCTTATAACGTGACGTCATAATAATAATCCGGTTTTGTTCCCCGAACATACAAAATTTGTTGTCAAGCTCGATAGCTTAGATGGTAGGGCGTCTGCTTTGCATGCGAGAGGTCCCGGGTTCGATACTCAGAAGTTGTCGAATTTTTTTTACTTTTTTATTTCATAAATTTGTTGTTCCTTTGTTAAAAAGTGTTTTATTTTTATCGTAACATAAATTTGCCCATTTTAGTTGGGTTTTTTGCTCAATGGGGCGGGGGGGGGCCAATGGGGCGGGGTCGGTTGGGTTGTGTTGTTGAGTTTGGGTTGGTTTGGTTTTATTACGTAACTAACGTGCCCTTAACATGTATACAGGTACAATTTATTATTATATTATTGTTGTGCCGCCAATTTTAAATGATAATGATGCATTGTATAATATATAATAAATTCTTTGTCCAGTCGGGATCAATGTTGGGGCACCGGCTAGAAGTTAGTTGATTTTTGGTATGCTCGAAAAGAGATAGAACATTCCAAATAATTCCCTTATATACAGTATGTCCCAAAAATGAGTATATAAGTATACTTACAAGACGAGTTTTTTTATTTATTTTTGGTTTTTGAAGAAAAGTCATTCTTGATAAAAAGTTTGTATCGTCGACAAAATAGCATTGACATAAGGAAATTTAGAATTTTATCTACAGGGTGTTTAAAAAATAGGAAAACATAAAATCTATTTATTTTATACTTTTTTGAAAATTTTAAGAAGGAAAAGCTGAAAATTTATTGTTGATCAAATGTTTTAATTGTCAAAAAAACATTTACATTTAGGTAAGTAAAATTTGGTTTTTTAAATGTGTTTAAAAGGTCTTGAATATATTTTATGTACATACCTAGTTAACTTTTTATCAGCAATAACTTTTCTTTGTAAAACCAAAAATAAAAAAACTCAAAACTCAAAAAATTAACAGTTGTGACTTTAAAATAAATTAAAAGAAATTATTACTAATAAAAAAGTTTAGCACCCTGGTTCAAATTGAAAAGCAAAAAACAATACCTATAAAAAGTCCTTAAAAATTAACCATATTAAAAAATGTTTTCTTACCTTATGACTGTCCCCGAAAATCGTGATGCTGAATACGGGGAAACCCCCACAAGTACCGTAGAAAAAAATCAAAAAAAATAACAAAAACGCACAAAAAAATATTACGCAGAACGCACTAAACAAAAGTCATTCTCAAACCCCTAAAAACTCGCAAACCGTCGGAAAACCAAAAACAAACAGGGAGACAAATCGCAAAATCTTTTGAACGCACGAAAGACTTTCCGCGAAGTGTGCCAGGCTTCCTGGAAACAAATGCTAGGCAACGCGCTGCTAACAAATGACAGATGAGCCACGAGATGTAACTAGGGGAGGGGCCGAGCTCGCGCCATGCGCCGGGCCTACCGGAGGCCGGTGGGCGGGGCTTAAACATCTCGCCGATAGAGAGGGAGCGCCGCGCAATATATATAAAGAGAGAGACAGCGTCTTGGGGGGGGGTATCGATACAGTTTATAGCTAAGCGCTAAACACTTTTTTTACGGTTCGGATTAAAACGAGACCGTTTTAATAGATTTGTTTTGCGATAAGTGGGATAGATGGCTTTTGTTTTGCGTGTGATGCTATTGGTCGAAGATTTTCGCGTCCTTTTCATTTATTATTGTTGTCTGTTTGCCCGTCAGATTTCTTTCTTTGGCTCGCTTTATTATTTAACAGTCATTTGCGGTTTTGTTTTCAGCGTTATTTGTCATTAACACGTTGAAAATTTGATTGCGAAGCCAGCGCCGGTTTAACAGGGGTTTTTTGGGGACTATAGCACCGGGCGGTAAATATTTTTGGGGCGGTACTACGTACCTCCCATAATTTTTTTAAAATACACCATAAAAAATACTTAATTATTAGCAATTGCACAGAAAAAAATTATTGAGACACTGCGTCGGCGGATCACAAAGGCAAAGAAAGTGTGCGAGCCGGATACAACGGATACAAATGAGAAATATGTTGTAAGAGTTGAACCAGCTTCTCTGTCAGAAAAACTTGATTTATTGGAAACGGAATAATTTTAACTTTTTGGATGGACGTTTTGCAAAGGGTTAATGAAACCAATAAAGCAGTTAAAAAACAAAATATGGATTTAAGCACAACTGCTCATCTTTTGTCATTTTTAGTTGAGAACTTTGATTTTTTACGTGATCGTTTGATCATTACGAGGAAATTAACAGGAAACGAAAATTATGCTCAGAAGCAGATAATTATAAGAAAATTACAATTTGAAGAAAATAATTCAGAGGTAAGTTTAAGCAAAAAAAAAACAATGTGAACAAAATGTTTTATTTTAATAATTTTAATCCGAAATCCATTGTCGATCTGAAAGCTACAAATCTGGCACAAAAAAAATTGAATTTTTGTTTAATCTAAAAGCATAAATCTTCGTGGAGGATTTGGATGAGTTTTTTTTCTCAAAAATGTGTCCATCTCAAGAAACTGGTAACTTTCCTTCCCGGAAATAAAAATAGAAACTCCATTGGAATTAGTAAAAGTTTTATAAGAAAATAAATTAATATTATTCCAGGAAACAAAGATTGTAGAAGGAAAACTCGTGGTTTGTGGGGCACTTGCAATAAAAATAACTAAAAAAAAACTACCGATTCGTTACGAAGGATAAGTGTACCTAAAAATCTAGGGTAGAACGAACTGACTCATTAAAGCCGTTTGGAAAATAAAAAACTTCCCTTTCGGGGGATGAAATTAGGGGACGCGGAAAGAAATTTTTGTGCAATATTCTTGATTCATTATCAGCGCTCCTGACTCTACATAACAAAAAATAAAACCTGACTACCATCGAGTTTTCCTTCTACAATCTTTGTTTCCTGGACTATGGAATATTAATATTTGTCTGCGTATTTTTTTTTCATAATGGTTTGAAATGCAAGTGGTGAACGATCTTTCTCTACTCTAAAAAGGGTAAACAGCTACCTAAGAAATACAATTCCCCAAGAAAGTTTACTAACTCCTTAACAATTCTGTCCAAGACCTGCAGCATGCTAGATGAAATACATGTAAATAGTGTTATAAATTAATTGGCTATTATAAAGACTTAAAAACAACCTATTAATTATTAGTATTAGTATTTCTCAATATTTATTTAAACCACAGAATAATGTTTTATTTATTTAAAACTTTTGATTAGTTTTTATCAGTTTAATGAAACGAAATGTTAAACTTTTATTTTTTAATTAGTTTTTCTTAGTTCATACCTATTGTGTATATAAACCAAATAATGTGTTATATTTTAGTGCTTCTGATTAGTTTTTATAATATTGTTTATATATAAAATTTAAATCAAAGAATAATATTTTTTTATAATTTGTTTATAAAGGGTAATTTTATATTTTATAGGTATATATTAGGGTGTTTAAAAAAAAACAATTATTTTTTTTCTAATGGTGTTCAAAAAGTATAGTAATAGTACATTAAAAAACAAAAATGTTGGCGCCTATTTGAGCCCTTAATATTAATATTAAGGTTTGCCTCAATTCATTTGTTGTTTTTCCACTTCAATAACACGGGAATTTTTATTTTTTTAATTTTGAATTCTTTGGAATGGTTTGTTTTCGCAACACCCAAGCGAAAGGAGTTATAGACAATTTCACGCTCTACAAAAACATCTGAAGGTCAAAGTTCTTCAGATCAAGCGTTTCAAAGATATCAGCGATCAAAAATATCATATGCCATATATATATTATTTTTTATGTAAAATCACTTTAATTTTGTTAACCTGAGACTGTAAACTTTATTTATATATATATATATATATATATATATATATATATTTTTTTAATTTAAAAAATGTTTTTAAAAAAGTAATATTTTAAAGCATTGGGCGTTTTGTTTGTGCCAGAACCGGGCGGCGAACTACCTAAAACCGGCACTGTGCGAAGCATAAGAATCGGGCTATTTAAAAATGAATTACCGGGATGGGAAGGAAATGAGGATCTTAAAAAGATTAAATTTGCCGAGGTTTCAAACAAAGCATTTTAAACCCCCGACGTTCTTAAATTTGCGAGTTTTGTTTTTATATTTTGTTTTTACTCATCAATTTAAATTTATGTTTTGGTTGATAATTTTGAAATTGTCGTTTGACAACTTATCTGTCAAAATCCAAGTCACTTTCGGAAAGTTAAAAAAATGTAAAATAATAAATTTTTGTAGCAAATTATGTTTTTTCGATTCAAATGTAGAAAATACCGACTTTTAAATGTTAAAATGTAAAGGATACCTATGTAAATAAAAATTAAAAATCATCGAAATTTTGTTTCCATTCATTATAAAGATTGAAATATTGAAAATATTGGAATTGTTTTTTTTACACAGGGACCTACAATTAGGTACAAATTTATTAAAAAGTTAATAATAATTTTTCATAAACCATGGTTTACCTGCAGGTAAATAAAAGTTAATCTTAAAAAACTGGTTATAAAAGTTATACCGATAAAGAATAAGTATATTTTGTAAAAATAAACGTAATTTATGGTAAAAAAATATTTTATTCTGAACATTTTATTAATAATTAAGATTTTGAAAAGTTGGGGGTAAGACCCCCTTTGTACGTCCCTGTGAATGTAAAGGTAGGTACTTCTAGTAAAAAGCAACAATTTTTTTTAATAATTTAGATTTTATATGAAATTTTTTAAGAATTTAAAGTAAATAAATTTCGGAAAATGACGATTTCTTTTATGTAGGTATGAACGATATTGTTGCACTTTATTTATTTTAATATATTTTTGATACGCCCATGTGTAGGTAAAGGCACTTTTAGTAAAAAAGCAAAAATGTAGCAAAAAAAACCTCTTTTTTCACGAAAAAAAAAATATTAGGTACCTATACAATAGGAGTAAATAAAATTACCATTACCTATTTTGTAAAAAATTAAAAATTAATAAAAAAATATTTTATCTCAACCATTTATTAATAATTAAGATTTTGTATAATTTTATATAAATTTTTACACTGTTAAAGAAATATTCTTAAAATAATACAGCTTACTATAGAGAGTTAACCAAGTTGTAAATAATTATTTATCTACGAATCTTAAAACAGTCCCCTCGCATTTAACTAATTTGGTAAGCATCTATAGGTTTAAAAAAAAATAAGTTACTTTAATTTAACTAATTTTGGTAATTATTAACTATAATGTGGTTAGATTAAACACAATAAAATTAACACATTTTTTAAATAAACTTGCAGATTAATTTATGGGTGATTCTACAAAAGTTGGACAACTTGATGTCATCAGACAATAGAGTAGGTATTTTAATGTTTTTTGTAAATATTTTAGTATATTACAAAAGATCAAGGTTTTTTTTAACTTGTCCACCCAATTTTAATGTATTTTTTAAAAGCACGTTTGTAGAAAAACATAATAAATATTCAAAATATCAGTACCTTGGCGTGTCACTACTCCTGAATCAAATATTAGTGATTTTTTTTTAAAATGTATTCAATTTATCTTAAAATTTTCAATTTCACTACAAACTATAAAACATTAAATAATGTATTTTTCATATTTTATCATAGATTCGAATAATAGCAATTTAAAAAAAAATGATAATCTTTGTACTTACTTTTACCCGTCAGTTCTGTGTCCAATGTTAAAATTCAAAATTCCTGCGAAATATTGAAGTTTAAACGTCAAGTCCTCGTTTTAAATCAAGTGTTGGTAAAAAATTACCTACAGAGCCCGCCCTTTCCACGACAGTCATCTTGAAAACAATGCAAGCGGCGAAGTTGTGGTAAATGCACGTATAGTTCCAGTCAAAATTTCAGTACTGTGGTGAGTAGTTATTTTCTTACGTAGGTATATATTTTATTGTAATTTATATAAGGCTATATGTGATTTGTTGATAAGTAGCATCCACTAATAAAAAACATCAGTAAAATACTTAATTCCGAATTATAATCCCAAATTTGTATCCCATTCATCAGTACCGTGTCGTCAGTTCCATGTTCGACGTTTCGTTTATCTTTTTTTCGCAAACTTTAATTTAAATTCTGCTTGCCCAGAACTTGTTTATTTGATGTCATTATAAACTCATATAAATTTGGTGTGGGTCTCATATCTAATAATTGAGATATCGGTATACCCAAAATCCACCATCCGCCACTGATGTGTGGTATTATTTGATTAAGATATTTAACTGTCCAACTTTTGTAGAATCACCCTATATAACCAATAGGTAAAAACATCCTAAAATCGCCATATTGTTTGCTGGAGCATGTCCATTCTAAGAAAAGGCAGAGCCGGCTTAAGGCAATTGAGCGCCTTAGGCACTTAAAAATTTGG